TTGCGAAAAGCAATGCCGTAGAACAGATAGTGGTTCAAACACTTAAGCCCCTGCGGGAGCGGTTGAGAGTCGAGCAGGTTTGCGTAATAGAGAAAGACGCCGACGACTGGCGTGCACCACTGTTGTCTTACTTGCAAGATCCAAACAAGGCTGTTGACCATGCTGTCAAGTTTAGAGCAAGGAGCTACGTAGTTTTGGATGAGACCTTGTACAAACGCAGACCTGATGGGTTATTGTTGAAATGCTTGGGGGGCAAGGAGGCATTGCAAGCCATGGCAGAAGTGCATGAAGGAATATGCGGAGCTCACCAAGCTGGTCCTTCCATGAGATGGATTCTACATCGCTATGGATTCTACTGCCCCACCATCGGGCCAGATTGAGCCGCATATGCCAAGGGCTGCGAAGCTTGTCAACGTCACGGTCCCGTTCAAAGAGCGCCGGCGGTGGATCTGAAATCCATAATTAAACCGAGGTCGTTTTATGGTTGGGCAATGGATTTGATTGGTATGATTTATCCTCCGTCGTCAAAGAAACATGTTTTCATAATTTTGGCCACTGACTACTTCACTAAGTGGGTGGAGGCCAAACCGTTGAAAGTGGCGAACCAAGAGGAAGTGATTTCTTTCATACAGGAGCATATTGTCCACCGATTTGGTTTGCCAGCAACGATAACGGCGGACCAAGGAACTGTGTTCACTGGGGGGCAAGTTATGGAGTTCGCGGCGGAGCGGGGGATAAAGATCATCCATTCCACGCCGTATTACGCACAAGCTAATGGACAGGCGGAAGCATCCAACAAGGTCGTCAAAAATATTTTGACGAAGATGGTTGAGGATAATCCGCGACGTTGGCATGAAATTTTATCAGAAGCGTTGTGGGCATACAGGATGTCCCCGCGGAGCAGTACGAGAGTGAGCCCATTCTCGTTAACTTACGGTCATGAAGCATTCCTTCCCATGGAGGTGACCGTCAACTCACTCCGGTATATGAAGCAGCACGAGTTAACACCTCTGGAGTATAATGAGTCGATGATGCTCGAGCTCTGCGATCTTGATGAACTACAACTCCGCGCCCTCGATAATGTTCAAGTACAGAAAGCAAGAGTGGCAAGAGCTTATAACAAGAAGGTTTGGCACAAATCGTTCGAGGAGGGCGAACTGGTTTGGAAAGCTCACTTGCCGATTGGAGAAAAAGATCCCAAGTTTGGGAAATGGTCGCCAAATTGGCGTGGACCATTCGTGGTGCATTCTGTGCGTCCTAATGGAGCATACTTGCTGAAGGACTTAGATGGAGTGATGCATGAGCGTTTGATAAATGGAAAATATTTAAAGCCATACGTGCCGTCCCTATGGGACGCAGCTGGTCATTAATCTGAGCAATGACGAACAACCATGTGCTAAAAGGAAGTGGCCCAGTCGGCCACCAAGCTTGATAACATGGTTGGGTGGTACGAGATTGGCGAGGGATGCAACAATTACATCAATTCGCCAACTCTGTTAGCAATAAAGGGAAATTTTTAATGCCTTTAAGGCCAGCGGCAGGGTTCACCCAAGTCCAGCCGGTGTGGTACCGCTGTTCGGTACCAAAATGTTCCAATCTTATCAAACGAAGCCGTTTTGCCACGAGGAGCAGGCATAGTTAACAGTGTTGTTTGGCATAGACGATTTGGTACTTGGCATAAGAAAAATTAAGAATGCTATCGTGGCTAGAACTAGCCAGTCGGCCATACTCGAACACAGTCGACGATGGAAGAGTAGGGCAGCGACATTGTTTTGGTTTCTCCTTTGAACGATTTTTTCTTGGCCTCAATGCCGGAAGAAAAAGAAAGAGAGCAAATTTTGGCCAAAATAATAAAATATGTGGCCGAAAAGGAAACGAAGTTGTTTTTGCAGGAAGAACAATTTCGCGGAGGAGGTAAACAATAGTGTTTTGTCCTAGACTTCGGCTATGAAACTGGGCTGATGTATTATAAGAAATATAAAGAGAACACCGTTGTTTATTTTACCAACTCTGGTCCTTTGATGATTTTACACTAATCTTCTCACAACGCTACGGCCGTCAGCAAGGCAGTTGATGTTGGATGTTAAAGAGGAGCGAGGAACAGGTGCGTTGGCTTTTCCCTCTTTGTCATTGTGTTGAAAAATAAAAGAAATAATAATAATAATGACAGGAAAAGAGAAATCTTTGTAGCAAAACGCTAGTGTTTATCGGAAAACAATGGTGTTTGTTGCCGCACAACTTCGTGGCAGTTCATTTTGGCCAAAACAGAGGCTGAGGAAAGAAAGTTCAGGGCTGTTTTGGACGAAGTACCTTTGCGGCCGTGAAAAAATTGTTTACTAAAATTTCTGTCAAAACAGTGTTGTTTATTGGCCTAAAACGACTATGCCGCGACTCTTTAGTTTTTATTTGAGAAAAGAAAAACTTAGGCCACTTATCCGCAGCTTTGCGGGAAGAGTGTCGCCAGGTCTGTTTTGAGAAGAGCAGCGTTGTTAGAATAAAAAAAATTATTATATACAAAAAAAAAGAAGGAAGAGAGTGTGCGGCCAAAAAAAAAATATACAAAAGAAAAAAAAATAATCTCAGTGCTGCCGCTGTTGCTAGCAGGCCTGAAAAGAAAAAAAAAACAAAATTGTGCATGCAGCGCTGTTGCTAGCAGCTCTGATATAAAAAAAAAGAGGGCGCTCAGCGCTGCCTCCGTTGCTAGCAGCCATGAGAATAAAAAAAAAATTCAGCTCTGCCGCTGTTTCCAAACAGCTCTGGCGGAGAATAATAATAAAAAAAATTATTATTGCAGCGCTGATATAATATAAATAAAAAAAATATAATATAAATAAAAATTTTGTGCGGGAAAAAATTTTGTGCATGCAGCGCTGCTGCTGTAGGCCTGTAGCGCTGATGATATAAAAAAAAATAAATAAATAAGGGGGTTCTCAGCCGCTGTTTCCAAACAGCTCTGGCGGAGAGAGAAAAAAAAAACAAAAAAAAATTTATGCAAGCAGCGCTGGTGGAGGGGGATAATAGCCGAAAAAAAAAAAGAGATAAGAAGGGAGAGAGGTGGCGGACAAAAAGGCAGCCCTGGTATAAAAAAAAAATTATTGTTGCCACAACAGCGTTGTGGACTGGTGGCGAGAAAGTGGCATGGTTTGGCAAATGGTGATTACATGACAAACCAAATTCCTACAGTAGGCCAACGTTGGATCTTCACCATGAGCACAATACTACTGCAGCCTCAAGTTCTCTTCCAACGAGCTTGTTTGTGGTTAATTTTAGACAATATTTTAGGTGAGGTGATTAAATTATGTCAACGATTTGGTTCATAATTCTTATAAACCAAATTGTGGGGGGGCATTTGTTGACACCTAAAATTAATTTGGCCTGAATTAAATGCCACATTAATTAGTCTCGGCATTTAATTCGATACCGCAGGTATAAAAAGATGTCGTTTGGAGTTAAGCGGCGTCGTGGAGAGTTAAAACGGTACCACAAGGAAGCTCGACGGTACCGCGGCATGGGAAACGACACCGCTTAATTAAAAAACAGAAGGGGCCGCGCGTGTAGTTGGGTTGGAGGAGGGAGTTTTATAATTAATAATTACCTTTATTCCTTGTCGGAAAGGGAAAATCGGTACCGCGTGGAGACAAGCGGTATCGCGGAGGATTGAAACGGTACCGCGGATTAGCAAACGACAGTGTTTAAATTAAAAACAATGTCGCGAAGGGAGAGGCAAATGGAGCTGTTTTGGGGCGCTAATGATGTCGTTGGTTTGACTAGTTATTGGCCAGATTAATTAACTAATATGGTTAATTATTTTTTTTCAGGACGGTGTCGTTTAGTTGGAAACGATGCCGCAAGAAAAAGAAACGACACCGCGGATTATAAAGCAGTGCCGCGAGTACGCGAAACGATGCCGCAACAGTTAAAACGACAGTGTTTAAAATTAAAACAGTGTTGTGAAGTTCAAAAGTTCAACAACATCGCGGGACAAAGGAAACAATGTTGTTTAACTAGGAACGAAGCCGAGGGGTGAAAGTTTGACGGGCGAGTTAATTTTATGGTTATTTTAGACGGCGTCGTTTATTGAAAAGCGATGCCGCAGAAAAGTAAAACGACATTGCGGTAGTGGTAAAAGATCGGCCAAAGGCGGCCCGCCAAGCCCAACGACAGCGCAGGACTGGAAAACGACGTTGTATAATAGGCTAACGGTGTTGTTGGTCAAGGCGGGTCGAGGCAATTGAGTGGTGACTATGAAACGACATCGATTAGTGAAAGGTGATGCCGCGGTAATGGTGAAACGACATCGTTACATGGACAAGGTTGTAGGATTTGGCTCAACGTCATTTCGCCAAGTTTATGCAAACAGGAGCGGTTTCGAGGGCACTTGACTATCACGCAACAAGGAGGAAGTTACCTACACGGTTGACAGGAGTGAAGACGTGGGAGACAAATGCGCGAAGGCAGTTACTACGACGGGGAGAAGCGCGAAGTATAAAGATCGGGAAGAGAGAGAAGCAATAGACGGTAAAATCAAATCACAACTACACCATCGCAGAATTTATCCTTTTTCTCTCTAGTTCGTAGAACAGCTCTGTCAAAGACCTCCTTTGCAGAGTCGTAGTCGTAGTCTGTAGTCGTAGTTGCGGAGCTCTCCAGAGGAACCTCCATAGGAGTAGAGGTAACGTAACTTAGAACACTCCTGGTTCGATTTCTGGTTATTCGCCGAACACCCTCGTTCGAACGTAGTTTGGAGAGGTGGTGAATCGAATAACGGTTGTTTGAGTAGAAGTCAAAGGTGTATCGATCAAATCAACATCGCCGACGCCGGCGGTGGATATTTGACGGTCGTCCTGATTTCTATTTTAATCGATCAAATCAATGGCGCCGACATTCGGCGGCGGATATTTGACGGTTTTGCTGACTGTGTGTTTGTGCTTACTTGAAAACAGTGCGCATTGAACACGCGAGTTTCGCCAACGAATATCCTTGCTCTAGCTACAATCCTCACATCAAAGTGGAGTTCATTCCTGTAAAGCATAATGTTAAAGCTGAATGGGTCGCCAGATGATGTGCTAGGAATCCAGTCCCTCACTACTATTGGATCATTGTCCTCGATCTATTTTCTAGCTTCATTGTGTAACCCCACTTTGTAATCAATCGCATTTAGTGTGAAAATGCATATTAAGCGCTCCAGAAGATCCTTGGAGCCTGATTCACCATAGAAAATTGTCCATCTTTTGCTCATTATTCATAGTCATTTGGTCATCAACGAATTAATTAAACAACACCATCTTCCTAACTAATTAAAAAAATATATATATATTGGAGAAAGGAGAAGACAGAGCCATCAACAACTGATGGGAGGCAGATCGGAACGGAGACCTCCGGCCCTCCGATGACGATAATCCCCGCCATCCAAACCCACACCGTCGTCGTCCTTCTTGAAAACCCTACTCCCGAACACCAAGAACCCCACGGCATGCCCCGCCACTGCGGCCAGAAACACCCCGCCGTTGAACGACATCACCGCCAGCATCACCATGTACGCCAGCCCGGCCCTCACGCCGTGCATCGCCGTCTGGATCAACCCGGCCCCGACCCGACCCGCGTCCTTCCGGATCAGCCGACACCCGGACAGCCACTCCACGAGGAACGCCAGCAGGAAGACGAATACGAGGGCCAGAACGTACATCTCGGTTCGGGCGCCGGGCCAACCCGAGAAGAGGATCAGCGCGTCTTTCCCCCAGTAGAACGTCATGTGCATCATCATCTTGTTCCGCCGTGTCGGCGAGGGACCCGCCATGGGCATCATGTGATCGCTGTGGTTCATCTTTTTCCTGATCTCCGGCAGGCTCGGATTAAGATTAGGGCGGCGATTTCAATTGAGGAGGGTAATTGGTGGGCATACATTGTTGTACAACTTGTACTGCTGTACATAGCGTACACGGAGAGAGGGACGTCGTACTGCTTTGTACTGTGTAGGATTGAAATGAAGTAGGAGATTAATTAGGTTGGCATGTATAGGTTATTTGGTTTGTACTTTGTACTTCCTGGGAAAGAGTGGTTTGGCTGTAATCTAAGTGTATTTTCGGATCTAGAAGATAGTTTCGTGGCCATTATGTGGACCAAATCTTCCCCAAATACGGGAACTAATTAGTCGGGTGATTCACTTTGAAGTTGAATATGCCCTGGCGGACCCAAAAATTCTTTGATAAGAAAATATATGACTATTACAAGTTACAATAAATTCCATAACATAGTAAAATATAATTGTCCGTTCTGTAGTTTTTTAGAAGCACCTTCTGGCTGGAGATTTTAGATAAGTACTTTTCAAAAAAACCAGTTTAGTGTTTGGCTGTAAAACTATTAGAAGTGTTTTTTAATATTAGCGGTGGTGTAAAATAACTATAAAGGACTTATAATATAAAATATAAATAAAAATTCTAAACAATAAAAAGTAGTCAAAATGGATCTTGTTAGATTTCTTTTATATTAAATAATATGATTTTATAATTTATTTTATTTTTAAAATGATATAAATGAAGGAAAATTATATTTTCTGAAATAAAATTAAAATATGGTAAGGATAATCTTGTCTTTTCAAAACAGCTTTTCACAGAAACTCCAAATCGGAGCTTCTGCTTTTATGTTATACAAAAGTGCTTTTCGGCTTTTCAAAAGCCGAGCTTTTAGAAGTGTTTGGCCCTGCTTCAACTTTTGAAGCCAAAAAACAGTTCTAAAAGCCGGGCAAACATAGGCTTTGATTGTGTATAGTAATAGTATTCAACTCATCTCTTTTAATATATCCTATTAGACAATCATTTATGAATTGATTGCTTATTTGATTCAGTCATCACCTCTCGTCGGTCGAGATCAGCTATCGCCGAATTCTCTAAAGAGTAAGGAGGACTGGATTCTCAAAGGAAGGAGGCATGATATAAGCCGAGGCTCCAACTCCTGGACTTAAACAATCAGAATCGCAGCAAAGAACGATTAGAAGCACAACGATCACAAAATGGATAATAACCCAAAACAAATCCACAAATCGGGAAGTGGGCCAGGTATACGAATAGGGCTGCAAATGACTATTCGGCTAGGGTAATGTGCTAGCAGAAAACGTCGGTTTCCTCTTGCTTATTCGATTCCACGATCAAGAAAGAAGAAGAAGAGAAGTTGGTGTTCGAACAATCAATTCTAGGGTTTGTATTTCTGAATAAAATTGTTGATTATCCTCTAAAAGACTTAGTTCAGCCCCCTTATATAGGCTACAAAGTTTTTATATTCTCGGAGAAAGAACCCCAAATACAATTCCGCACCATCCTGTCAATTTGTTCACAAATAGAAATAGGCAAGAACGTGGTTTGCATGGTATAAACAGGTAGGGAGCTAAGGACTGAATGGGCTAGAGTTACCCGCGCGGCGAACAATAAGGATTTCGCCTTCCAACCCGCCAATTTTTTCTTGATCACCAGTTGGTCATAGGCATGACAGAACCGGTCTAGGTAATCAAGAATCACCTTGCCCTGTGCCACACTTGCCTCTGCAAAAGGATTAAGTCATCATAAAAAACAAGTGTGATAGAGGAGGGCCACCTGGGTTGGTGCGGACTGGTTTCCACCGGCCACCAGTCACCGCTTCCTAGATTGTGTGGCTGAGACAATCCATGCAAAGAGTGAACAAGTAAGGTGAGAGCGGGTATCCCCGTCGAAGGCCCCGGGAAGGCTGGAACTCCTCTATACACGCTATGTTCCACAGAATTTGCATTGTCAGGGAGTTTACACATTCCATAATCAGGCTTGTCATGGAATCTGGGATACCAATCGCCTGCAAAGTTTCTTGTAGAAACTGTCAGCTGAGACGGTCATAGGCCTTAGTTAGGTCGATCTTCAAAATCATTTGTCCCCTGTTGCCCTTCTTGAGCCTCATAGAATGAACCATCTCCGAAACAATAATTATATTATCTGTAATGTGTCTCTCAGGAATGAAGCTGGACTGCGTGGGATGGACCAAACCTCGTAGAAATGGTTCGATCCTTTTAACCACACATTTGGCTATAATCTTATAGGCCACATTACACAGTCCAATCGACCGGAACTGTCTAATTGTCTCTGGGCTTTCTTTCTTCGGTATGCGCACCAGCACCATCTCATTCACTCGTCGGATCATTGTAGGTTGGCTAAAGCAGTCTGAAACAAACCTTCATAGAGCCTGACCAGCTGTGTTCCAACACTTCTAGTAGAAAGGGGACTGGTACCCATCCTTACCTAGAGCTTTGAAACCTCCCATGCTCTTGACTGCCTGCCATACCTCATCTGGGGGGAATAGGACGAGATAGCAACTGTCCTGCAGCCTCGTCCAAGCACTTGAAATTAGCAGGGACCAGGCGAGCTACCCCAGCTTCGGCTTGGTAGAACTCCAAGAAAAAAGACCGCTCCAGCAATTTTAACTCCTCATCATCCGTGATCCATGTACCAGACTCGTCATGGAAGGAAGTATTCATGTTAAAACATCGACGTTTTAATGTGGAGAGATGGAAAAAATGCGTGTTCCGGTCACCCTCAACTATCCACATTGCCCTCAATTTTTGGAACCACAACAGCTGCTCCTACCAAAGAGTATCCTCCAATTCCTGTCTCGTAGTAATCTCTTGAGCCTGTGTCCTATCATTTCAAGCCAACTCATTCAGCAACTCCATCTTTCTAAGTCGCCGAATGAGCTCTTTCTTCCTACGATCAATGTGCCCAAAGACCCGCTTGTTCCAAGAGGCGTGGGCTTCAGTAAGAGCTACCAAAGAAGTGGGTAACTTAGCCTGCGGTTTCCAGGTCTCATCCAACAACCGAGGAAAATCATCATGTGTCAGCCAAGCTGCCATTAAGTGGTAAGGTCTCTCTTCTCTTCTGCTCATCCGTGGGGCTGACTTGATCAAAATAGCACGATGGTCAGATCTGATTCAGGTCAAATGATTATTCATCGTATGGGGGGTACTTGAGGAGCCATTGCTTGTTGCAAATCACCCGCTCTAGGCGCTGGTGAAGGCTCCCTCTTTTCTAGGTATACCAAGGTCCATTAAACCCAAGATCAATTAAACCGCTCCGCTCCATGCATTCTCGGAAGGGTCGAGTAAGAGCATCTTGGTATTCCACTCTGCCACATCTATCCGCAGGGCAAAGGATAGAGTTGAAATCTCCATCTAGTATCCATGGTTCCGAAGTTGTCTATGCAATACAGGTAATTTCCCTCCATAGATCCGAGCGTCGTGCCATGTTAGGACTCCCGTAAAGTGCCGAAACCAACACCGTATTGTTCAAAGACCCCCTTGTTGCATAGCGTAAGTGGATCATCTGTTCCTAGTCATCCAACTGAGTCAATTGGAGATCTTTCTTGTTTCAGAGAACCCAAACCACCCCCCCCCCCCCCCCCCCCTACAAAACCAATTGCATCCACAATTAGAATACCTTCATATCCCATTGGGGATAATACTTATTGAGTAGTCTCGCCACTAATACGCAGCTCGACTATAATAATAATATCCGGCCTGTTAGGCTCATGATAGACCGTTAATTACACATGTTTTCACCCCTGTTCTTACACCGTTTGAGATGTGGTTTCTCGTGTTTTAGGTCGATTTCACGCTAGGTTGTGTTTGTTTGTGATATTTCATGTCCTAGTACGTGAATGGAGGCTTGGGAGCGAGTTTGGGGTCGATTGGACGAAGATCGGGCGCGAGGCAAGTCACAAAGGAGGCCACACGGGCACACCCACAACTCACACGGCCGTGCAAGTGACCACTTTGGCCGTGTGAGATTGTGCGAGAGCAAACACGGCTTGCCCTGATGTCCACACGGCCGTGTGAAGGAGTGGTCTGGCCGTGTGAGATTGTGCGAGAGCAAACACGGGCAGGATGGAAATCACACACGGCCGTGCGACCCTGGCCGTGTGGGAAGCCTAAAGATCGAACTAATTGGAACGCAGCGTTTTGACTCACACGGGCAACTGGGTATGCCACACGGCCGTGTTGCCCAGCCCGTGTGAGTCGGGATTTCCTGGTTTTAATCCAATTTCGGGCTGCAAGAGAGAGAATCGGGATTTTTGGAGCAAAAACAGAGGCCTAGAGAGAGAAAGGACGAAGAACACATCCTAGAAGCTATCTTGGAGCTGGGTTTCATCAAATCAAGCTTGGAGATCGTCACAGGAGTGGAAATCATCATCCCAGAGCAGATTCTTCCCATAATTATGAGTATGATTGCTTTGTATCTTGTTTTCCTCTCTCTCTCTCTATGGAGTAGAACCCCTCTCTCACTTGGGGATGAAGAACCCTAGTTCTATGTGTTAGGGATTGATTGTAATGACTTGGGATGATATTACTGTTTGATTTTAATCGAATGATGCATGTTTATTGAGTCAATTGAAGTCTGATCAACTTTTCCTGATTCCTGCTGCAACCTGAGATAGATAGAATCTGATTAGGTTGCTAGAGTCTCATCATTCGGTAGTAGTACATTGGCTATACGAGAGTTAGCCAGTGTACTGCTTTGTACTGGAATCTAATTCCAGTAGTGGAGTTCTGTTCTTACTGCTTCAGCTTTCTATCCCGGTGAAGACTAGTCGTCTGCCGGGTAGATAGACTGAGAGGGCTTGGTCAGCTTAAGAGATTCCAAGCTACTGTCGGATCTTCCGCAGTCTAATCAACAGTAAATCAACCCAGGGAAATACAATTGAAACCTAACTAAGGAGCTAGGGGGACTCATTCCCGAGTGACTCTTACCTGCTTGAGAAAACCGTATCAATTCCTGCTTTCTTTCTGCTTTTGCTTTTAAACAACAATCACTTACTTTAGTTGGCTAGATAATAGAGAATCACGGAGTAAGCAGTAGATCTAGACCCCGGGTTGATAATATAACTTGCCTGTTACTGCATTCCCGGTCTGCGATTACACTTGGTCGCAGATTGGTGTTGTGTTTTGGCGTGTCAAGTTTTTGGCGCCGTTGCCGGGGAA